TAATATAGGCGGGTAACTAGCCAAGTGACCAATACCAAAAGCATAATAATTAATAAAACACACTATATTAACCATTAAAACTTTACTATCGTAAATATATATTATTAAACATTTTACATTTACAGTGTGCTTAAAATTTTACAATTATACTTGAGCACAATGTTTTAATAATAGGCAACTTTATAACAAGAAAATGTTAAAATGAAGAAACTTTTTAATGGCTTCATAATCGACGTTTCTTCGATATTGTTGGTTACTTCTACTTTATAATTGTCCATTTTGCTATTTTCTTTCTTTCTGTTTGTAAATTATCTCCATTAATCCATAGAAAACAAGCAGTATACGTTTGTATTTCTTCGTATTTCGAACGCGCACTCCTTGAAGGCAGCCATATTGCCGAATATAAACATCCACTTGATGAATAAACTTTTCATACTTCACTCTATTTCCAACGACCAATCAAATCACTTCTGCTTCGGCTTCATCCTCGTCCCCAGGCCCAAGCTCGGGCGGCCCTCACAGTGGCCCTGGGTCAGGCTGTTGAGCAGTTGATTGTGATTGGTTCTTTTGCTCTAAAGGAATGTTGCGGGTGGAAAGGAAATGCGGGTTAACAATAAACAATGGCTGGCTCGAAGAGTGGCAATTCAATAAACTTGTATTAAATTATGGTAGAAATCAGATATTTACATGTAAATTTTTGCTTAAACTATGGTATGGACACATTCAAGACTTCTGGAAACAAACTACATGGATATTTGAAGGATTAAAACATCTGAAAGTTGAAACTGTGAGGGCCGCCCGAGCTTGGGCCTGGGGACGAGGATGCTTCGGCTTGTCCCAGGCAGTGGTCCCAGGGCTTACGGCAACGCAGGCAGCCGAGAAGCCCTGGGAACGAGGATGGAGCAAAATTTGAAAAGTTTACAACTTGAAAAGATATTCGATGCCTTTATTTAAAAGAAAAGGCAAGGTTCCTCCACGAAATATAGAGGCTGGAGCCTCGACAATTAGTGTGAAAGATCTAGATGACACGGACAAAGAAAGTGGAACGATTAAACTGAATTTGGGCGACAATAAGTTAGTTTTTGAAGATGGCGTATGGACATCAGGTCTGCGACAAAATGGCTTTATTTGTACCAAGAATAAATATATAAAATAACTAATTTATATTATATGTATTACTTTGGATAGCTCCTTTAATTCTTTACAAGTCCAGTAAGGGTCATTCCCTAAATATTGATATATTTCTACAGGAGGAAAAGTAAACTTTGTAATACTGGATAGCTCAATGAGCTCTAAACTGTTCTTGCAAGAGTTCCAGGGCAGTGCATTGACATACAGTATATATAATATATATTTGTACTGCTTACTCGGCCTCAAAGAGCTGAAAGTATTTTGCTATGTGCCAGCAGTGCTGTTTTACTCTCATATTCATCAGCTTCAACTTGCCACACAAGCCTTCAATCAAAAAGTATTACAGCATATTATAGGTCAATGGGGCAGCGTCACTACAGGAGGATACCGTTAAAACTTGCACTTTTTAAATGTGGGAAAATTATGATCAAACAACGTTACATATATTGCAGAAACCTATAAAGCCTTCATCAGTGGCCACAGAGATGAATAACATGTGCACTAACTAGGGGTATTTTTAGCTCTATTACTGTCGTTCCAATTGAAGTGTTCCTCAAATATTGATTCAATACATTACCTCGGGCTGACCAATTCATTTCATCAAGTTCCTCGAAATATTCATACACTTCCTACTAATTGGCCGCTTTTGAAAATATTGATCATGACGAATCGCACTGCCTTAATTAAATGCAAACTGTGTGTTTTAAAAACGGGTTAGGATAAAACAAGGATACGGACGGACGGATGACGGACGGATTACATATATATGTCGTTATATAGTCTGCGCGCAGCCGCGCAGGGTAGTTAGTGCCTTACGTCTTCGCTGGTTGTTATACTTTAAAATAATTTTGTATGTACCGAGAAATCAATATTCCAAGTATATAAATATATAAACTGGGATGTCACACTGATAGCTTGTTTACATTTCCTGGAGCATCATGAAATCTTATGTTTAACCACGGTGGTTTAACCCATTAGCTGGCAATGCGCCCTTCCCTTGTCGAGCGCCAGAAGATTTTACTCGTCAGTGGTATATGGTACTGCCAGTAAATGGGTTAACAAACCTATCTGCCAATGGCTCTTGTTAATTCATTAGCACAGTAATGACCCCTACTTTAGTATTTACCCTGTCCAACGCCAGACGATTTTTAATACTCAGTCAGTGGTAGGGTACTGCCAATAAATGGGTTAACAAGGATAACAATAATTAGCCTGCATGGCAGGCGGTATTTCCCAGGCTTGCCCAATTTTAGGAACCGCCTGCCATGCAGGCTAAACAATAATAGGATGTTTCTGAAGGACTCGTTCAACACCCTGTAGTTTGTCTTTTGCTGTCAAAGGCAGCATTACTGCCCTGTGGGTAACCTAGTTTATGTTTATAACTATTAGCAGCTTACTGAAACACTATCTGATTTTATATACAAAACGAATATTTTTCTGAATGATTCAACACTTCGACGCCCAATCGACGGCCTACTAATAATTGCCGCTTAGCGCTGTTAATTGTTAACATAGCTTGATAATGCGAATCTTGTGACATTTGCACTAATAACAGTATGTGCCACATTAATATTTTGTCAAAACTTGATTTTTCTTGACGGTCAGCACTTCAGTTTGGCTTAAAAAAAACACGTTAAAAATACCGGTATTTACCGGTATTCTGATTGCGGTATATCGGTATTCGGTATTTGCGATATCGATCCAGCGTACTCACGCCATGCGTCCAGGCCTTCTCCGCCATATTTTAGTGGCATTGGCAAGCTGTGCAACAACAAAGGATGACTTGATTTGGGAAAAAGACAATAAACATGACTTTACTGTCAGTCAGTACACCGTTTACCGCCAGACGATCTCTTTTGCTAATGGACAGTCCTTGAACAGAAGAGACTTTAAAACTGGGTCACTGCTAATCAGATATTTTACCTCATTTATAGACCTTCCCGCGAATATTCAAGAATAGAGTTCTATTTGAGAAAAATTTACAATCCCGAGAAAAGTAAGTGCTTCAGATCCATGGACTCCCCATCGATTTCCTATTATACTTTTAGTTATAAGTTCTTTGTAGGTTTGCTTGGCGATAAAACATATAATACTATTGTTTGTGGAAACACCACGTAAATTTATTACTGCAAAGCTTTTGATCCGTAAGCCCGGATCTTCATATTATTAGCACTGATGAAAACCCGAGCTTACGGATCGATAGCTTTGCGGTAATAAATTTACGTGGTGTTTCCATAAACAATAGTATTATATGACTTTCAGTTATTTATACTATACATAGATCAGTTCTAGCTTCTAAACAAATCTCCCTGGAGGCCCTGTGTCATTACAGGAGGCAGCCCAAACTGATTCTTCAGTTTATAATTATACTAGATAACTCCATCAGATCTAAACTGTCTTCCCTAGGTTCATCTTTTAGGAAAGTACCAAAACTAAATTAATTTTATTTATACTTGATAGCTCAATCAATTGACCATTTGCGTAATAGACAAAATTTTGATCTAAACAAGTCTGGACAAAAATTTTATCACAGCTTGAAAGAGCATCACAAAATTAGTAATATTCCAAAGTTTCGTTGCGAAATGTTGTAAAATGCGGATAATATAGCCTTGCGAAGTTTGCAATTTTCAGTCATTTTAGATTACAAACGGAAAATGAACAGCCTCAAAGCGTATCGGGCTGTCAATTTCCCGTTTGTAATCTAAAATGACTGAAAATTGCAAACTTCGCAAGGCTATATTATCCACATTTTACAACATTTCGCAACGAAACTTTGGAATATTACTAATTTTGTGATGCTCTTTCAAGCTGTGATGAATTTTTTGTTTAGATCAAAATTTAGTCTATTACGCAATTGGTCAATTCTAATACCATCCCGTACTGGTCCATGTAGTATTTAATACTACAAGAGGATACCAGAGTACCTGGCAACAACCTGCAGTGCCTCGGTACAGTCAAACTGGAATCACTCGGTGTTCTCCCATGTGACTCAGACAAAAGTATATTCTAAAAACTTCAGAGGCACATGCACTAACCGATATTCATCAAACTCTTTTAAACTATGCCTGTATTCTTTGTTTGTAATGACGTAATTTTGCGATTTCAGTTGACGGGCAGTTAAACGGCTATTTTAATGTATTGATCGCGTTTAGAGACAGTTTAAGACTCAAAGGATGAATTACCGTTCAGGTTTTGTTGCTACAACCATTCTGATAGCAGAAAAATCGTCCACAAGTCGTTTGATTGCCCGTTATTTGGATGAAAAGTCACGTGATTGCAAACAAATCATTCATAGACTAGATAGCTAGTTCTATTGAAGATTTTGGGTATCTCACTCGATAGAACTTGTCGTTGAGAAGTTTTGTAGATGGAAATTTCGAATGTAAATTTTATACATTTATTAGTCTTGACCAGGAGCAGTTGCGAAAATGCAACTATAGCCATAGGCCCTCTGAACCTGAATCGAACCTGCGGTCCTGCGATTGTGGTGGAGCGCTTCAACCAAGCTACAGAGTCCAGTTGTCAACAACTCGATTCTGTAGCTCTGTAGCTCGATTCTGTAGTGGTCGACAACTCAACTTTGAGCTGGACTCTGTAGCTCGGTTGGAGTGCTGCACCAGAATCGATCCCTGCCGCAGGTTCGATCCCTGCCAGGCACCTATAGTTGCATTTTTCGCAGCTGTTCCTGTTTAGGTCGAAATAAATGTATAAAATTCACACACGAAATTTCCATCTAATTCTTTTCATTTTAAAAAGATGACTAACCAAATATTTACTTTTTTTGAAGATTTCAAGTTTTCAACACAAACTCTTTCCGTGGTCACGATCTGCTCTATTTTACTTTACGCGGTGAGTCGTACAATATTTAAATCGGGGTGCTATACGTACTGTTTAATAAACGAGCAGGAGTGTTTTATTAGGTTTAAAGCCACGAGCGCGCAGCGCGCGAGTGGCTTTAGACATAATAAAACACGACCTGCGAGTTTATTGAACGGCTTCAAACACGACTACAAATTCAATAGATTTACTGCCTTATTGCTGCCGTAGGCAGCCACCTATTCTTGACGATGTGTTTGTCTCGCACCAGTCCGTTTCCGGTTGGCCGAGTTATGTATAGCCGAGCGACAACTCGATTTCATTTGCATGTACGAATGTACGGATTTTCAGATTTATGACGTATTTTGACGTCACAGAAATTTTAAAAAATAACATACTCCAGATCGCGATTTGACTTTCCGAATACCCGGGTTGAGACTCACGAACACCACCATGGACTATTACGATTTGTAAATAACATCACCTCGTGCTGTTGTAAATTTTGATTCCAGCTTGCTGCAAATTTTATGTCTGGCTGTTTATCGAATTATTATTTTACGTCTGGCTGTTTATCGAAAATATTGAAGGTAAGATAACAACGTACAAGTAACAACGTACTTTTGTCGTATTATTTTACCCATTGAAGCGAATGAATCAACTGTAATCTGTATTTTTATTAAATTTTTAGGTACCGTACAACTCTTCATATATGCCACTGTTACAAACAAAATCGGCAAGCCATTGTGCCACTGCCACACAATCAAATCAGCAAGCCATTGTGCCACTGCTACAAACAAAATCGGCAAGCCATTGTGCCACTGCCACACAATCAAATCAGCAAGCCATTGTGCCACTGCTACAAACAATATCGGCAAGCCATTGTGCCACTGCCACACAATCAAATCAGCCAGCCATTGTGCCACTGCTACAAACAAAATCGGCAAGCCATTGTGCCACTGCCACACAAATATTAAATCAGCAAGCCATTGTGCCACTGCTACAAACAAAATCGGCAAGCCATTGTGCCACTGCCATACAGTTAAATCAGCAAGCCATTGCCATTGTGCTAATGCTACACAAAATAAGCAGATCATTTTACTTAAAACGTTTTAATCAAGTGATAGTGTTATTCACTCAAATGTCAGGCTATATTGTGTATGTTCCATTGTTGTTGAGAATGGCAAATGATGTAGAGGAAAATCCTGGACCCACAATATATGATGTGGTTGATCCAACTAAAACAATGGGCCATTCCATTTATTAACCGCACCCCCCCTATTGAGGGTTTACAAAAAATACCCCCTGGATATTGCTTTAGTAATAGGGTATGTGGATTTCTCATTTTAACATTTCCCGTGGATTTTCTAAACCTTTGTTAACCTATTGAGGGTTAAACATAATTTCTCCCCCTGGATTTTTGGATTTTGTTAAATTTGTTCAATGGATATTTTGCATATGTTCTTTGAAATAGAATTAATACACAAATAAATTCACTGATAAATTTACTGCCATGAATAAATAAATTTACTACCATGGATTTATTTTGTTTAAATTTTTTCCATTTGGATTTTTATTTGGATTTTTTTATATTTACCCATGGATATATCTTGAAAAATTTCTTTCTCCTAATGGATTTTTGTTCTTTGGACCCCCTGGATATCCCAACCCTCAATAGGGGGGGTGCGCATATTAAATGGAATGGCCCAATATGTGCAGATTTTAGCCAGGGAAATACAAAAAAGTTTCGACAAAATGCTGGTAAACAATGTTTAGCAATGTCTTTGACTGCTATAATATATAATTATATCACAAATGCAAATACATGGGATTCAACTGTATTAAATTCAATACTGTGTGCTGGAAATAACCTTTATTCTTTTATAAGCAATTCTGTTAACAAAAGCTATTTGCTTTTGACTGACGTGCCTGAAATGGTTTCGGTTTTTGATGGCATTTATTGTATGCAATATGGTGACCCGTTTGCTGGTGACTTATTCATGGCAAATACCGCTCTACCTTATTATTCTATAGAGAATGCTCTTAATAATCTGTTCATGGAAACTCATTTAAATTATCAACATTGTATGTTGACTATTGGTTCTAATACTGTTGCAATTTTTAAGACTTGTGAAGGAACCTTTAAAGTATTTGATTCTCATTCAAGAGATTTATATGGGATTCCACACCCTTTTGGAAAATGCATGTTAGCATCTGTTGATAGTATAGAAAGCCTGGTGATATATTTCCAGAGTACTGTACCTCCAGGTAATGAAACACCCTTTGAAGTTAAAGGAGTAACTGTTCAGTTAAATTGTGATATAACACAAGTAAGTGGACTTGCTTCAAGTGAAATTGCAAAAGAGCATGTAAAACAAAAATGTTCAGAAGAAACTGAGAGTCAGAAACAAAGCAGACTGGAAAATGCTAGAAAGTATAAAAAGCAAAGCAAACAGCAGAGACTGAAACTGAGAGGCAAACTAGACTTGAAAATGCTAGGGAGTATCGAAAAGCTAAACGAGCTTCAGAAACTGAGACTGAGAAACAAACTAGACTTGAAAATGCTTGGGAGTATCAAAAAACAAAACAAGCTTTACAAACTGAGGATGAGAAACAAACTAGACTTAAAAATGCCAGGGAGTATCGAAAAGCAAAACAAGCTTCAGAAACTGCACATGAGAAACAAACTAGACTTGAAAATGCTAGTGAGTATCGAAAAGCAAAACAAGCTTCAGAAACTGAAAATGTTAGAAATTATGAAAAAAGAAAACGAGGATAGGAAACTGAGATTGAAAAGCAAACTATAGTTGCCAGTGCTAATCAGAACAAGAGAAAACGTTTGTGTGCTTCTACTCAAATTCTAAATCAGCAAGATTATCTAAACAAATTTGACATTGAAAAAGATGGTAGTATTCATGAACAGAGTTGAGCAAAAAATAACATTAATAAATTTTCTAAATCTATTGAATTCTTTATTAATCAATGCACTATATTTAATAAATTTTCTAAATCTATTGAATTCTTTATTAATCAATGCACTATATGTCAAGAAGCATGGCCACTGAACTCTAAACCAAAGTCACCTGATTGTTATATATGTTCTCGATGTGCTCGAGACACAAAATCTCCCAGAAAGTTTTCACATGAAAATGCAATGATTCCTTCTCCAGTCCCAACCGAGTTACAAAATTTGACGCAAGTAGAGGAAATGTTGATTGCTCGTGCTCTTCCTATCATGAGAGTTTACATTAAGCCCGGTGGACAACGAGGTTACTCGGGTCATTGTGTTAATTTGCCACAAAATGTTAAGGAACTTGCATCATCATTGCCAAGATATCCAAAAGACTTGTCAGTGATTATTGTCAAGGTCAAAGGTAAAGATAACTCATTTAGAGATGTTTCTGTGAGAAGAAAAAAAGTACATAATGCATTATTATGGCTTGTGCAAAATAATCCTCATTATGCTGAATTAGAAATTAATGAAGATGCATTAAACTGTTTACTAACCTGAGTATCAGGCTCTATTTTACAAATAGAGCCTGACACAAAACTTAACCTGATCGCTTTCCGCCCACAGCAAAGTTTATATTTAGTATCCAATCAAAATGTCCCAGGAGAAATTTAAATTTCACACAATGACAACAACAATCTAATTATAGCATAGGCAGCCCACTAAACGGCTGAATTTAAATTAAAACTGCAATGAACTTATAAAATTAACAAAAATAATCACAAATTAGCGAATTATATTGCAAATGTAGCTTATATTAAATCGCCATCCGATTGCTCTCTCCTCCGCAGAGGTCTCAGTGACTACAATGAGCTTTACATGGCGCTTGCCGTATTTATCAACAAACTGACGTATAATTATAAAGTATATATATATACTTTATAACTATACGTCAGTCGATAGTGCAATCTGATGGCGATTTAATATAAGCTACATTTGCAATATATTTCGCTAATTTGCGATTATTTTCTAATTTTACTGCAGTTTTAATTTAAATTCATCCGTTTAGTGGGCCGGCTATAATTGTAGTTGTGATCGTTATAAAATATATCAACAACAATAGTATAATCTAATTAGCACCAGCCAATCAAATGACAGATTTAAAAATCGTTTGTCTAATCGGCCAATCAGCGCTCAGTCCAGATTCTGGACTGAACAACCAGGCAAAATGCCACTTTTGTGTCAGGCCGTACTTTTCTCCCCTTCGCCCACGATCAGGCGTGCCTGTGCCCTAAAAAGTACGGCCTGATACTCAGGTTAACTGTTTACCTGAAAATGGCATTCCAGCAGATCTCATGACTGTTGAGACTGAAAATGAAATAATCTCAAATGATGATGTTATGTCAGATTTAGGTCCACCCACTGAAAACCCTTCTGAAGATATAGTTTATAACAACTCTACAGACATGAATAGTTTCTTGCCTGTCGGTGAACAGCAGGAACAAGAAATAGAAGCAGTTAGAAATCAGCTTTCTGCAAATGAACCAATGACATGGCCCACTATTGAAAGTGAACCATTGAATGAATATCAGATATCATATCTGGCCACTATGGCTTTTCCAACATTATTTCCTGATGGGAAAGGTGATCCCACTAATCAAAGTATCTTGAGAAATGTTCCTCTTCAAGAAAGAATTAAGCATCTTTTGAAATTTGCTGAATTTATTGATGGTAAATGGGTATACCGTTTTGCCAATCACCCTAGATTTTCATACTGGGCATTTAATATGATTCACAGAAAGCGTATTCTAGAACAAAGTGGAATATTCATTAAACAAAATCCAGGTGAAGCACACCTCACTATTGATGAGCTACGCGAAATGGCTGCAAGTGACAACTCCACTTTACTGATGTCCAAAGTGTCCAGATACATTGGCAATATTGCAGGTACTAATGCTTACTGGAATAAAGTGAGAGAGGAACTCAAAGCTATAATAACTAATGTTGGAGCACCAACATTGTTCTTTACTTTCTCATCAGCAGATATGCACTGGCCTGAATTGCATGCTCTCTTTGGAGCAAACACTGGTAATGCCACTAGTGAGGCAAGGAGACAAAATGTTATTAACAATCCACATATAGTTGATTGGTTCTTTACACAGAGACTAGAAAAGTTTGTAAAACACTGGCTTTATGATACACTTGGTGCAAAATGGCACTGGTTTAGATATGAATACCAAGGTAGAGGCAGTATCCATTGTCATGGTACTGCAAAACTACATAATGACCCAGGCTTGTGTCAACTTACTCAGATTGCTTTGAAAGGTTTCTTAGCTCAAAAATTTAAAAATGAAAATGATTGTTCTGACACAACTGAATTGGACCAGGATATTGAAGCTGGTCAGAAAGCAGCTGACACAGTATGTCAGTATGTTGATTGGTTATTATCAACCATCAATCCTAATCCACCAGATGAGGATATGTGGATCAGACCTGAGGTTCATCCATGTCAAAAAAGTCATCACGACATTCTTGAACATGAAAAACAATCAGATTATGTAGATCTATTAAACATGGTTCAACGACACACTCGTTGTAGTACAAGTTATTGTCTTAGAAAGAAGTCAAATGAAACAGAGTTGAAATGTAGATTTCACTTCCCTTTTGATATTTGTCCTAAGACAAAATTAGAATTTGAAAAAATTCATACCTCAGGTGATAATGAGCATTATCGAGCTAAGATTGTGACTAAACGAAATGACTCTAGATTAAATAACCATCAACAACTTCAGCTACAGGAATGGAGAGCTAACTGTGATATTCAAGTTGTTATTGATCACTATGCTTGTGTTGAATATCTCACAAAATATGCAGCTAAAGGTGAGCCAAGATCACCTATATTGAAACAGGCATTCAATTCTATTGTGCAAAATGTCGACAGTAATACTGACCCTCATAGAGTTATTAAGAAGGTAGTTATGAAATCTCTTGGTGAAAGAGATTATGCAGCTCAAGAGACAATGCATCATTTGTTGTCATTAAAACTCCACAGCTCATCCTTTAAAGTGATGCCAGTTAGTCTAAATGGTTCACGTAGAGTGCGTGATACTGCAAGTATTGACGAGGGTGAATCATGCACCGATTATTCACTTCTTGATGTGTATGCTAATCGTGAACAATATGACAGTTCACAAAATATAATAAATATGAACTTT